ACTTCTTGTACTCTTTCTTCTTCATTTACTATTTTTTATGGGGCTTTTGGCTACTCTAACATTCCCCTCTTTGAAGAGGTAACCCTAAAATCTTTTAAGGATTAGATACAAGCTCTCAAATACTTTTGATATTTTTGGCCTTTGAAACAGAGTATGTTGCTAAGAGGCCCATGGACATTTTGATTTTTAGCCAAGAAACTGGCTGCTTATCTTTGGGGTCTTTTTACCCTAACTACCTAGCCAATTCCTACCTCCTATTCTTATCACACCATCCTCTGAAGGGGTTACCCAAATTGCCAATAGGGAATCAGGACGCAGACTACTCTGGCTTCTTCCATGCTAAACAAGGACGCAGGTTGAGGCAATTGGGGTACCCCTTCAGTGAGTCTATATAAAAGACTCCCAAACTGCATAACTTTTATCTGTAGGAAGAAAAGAAAATCTTTGACTGGTGAATAGGGGATGTGAAGGAGAAGTAAAGGCAAGAGTAGTTAGCATTACAGGTTCTAGACAGGGAACCAGAAAAAAGCCAAAACAGGGCAAATTTCAAATGTTCATATCATAGTCCATTGGAATTTCTTGATGAGAGCTTCCAAAAGCATCCCTCCATTGGGTTCCTTCTCATTTTTCTTTTGTCTACCAAGGCTGGACTTGAGAGTGATGGACTCAGGATTTGTTTCCAGGCACTTTGAGAGCTCTTGGAGTGGCTAGAATCCACGTCAGTTACCTCTTAAAGGCTTCTAGATAGGGGGAAAAAACGCCAAAAAGGAAAAAAAAAAACTAAGGAAAAGAAAAATGATTGGTTAATCTGAAGAAATTCATGAACAAAGTTGGGTGAATGTATACAGTGGAATAACAAGTGAAGACAGAAAATTCTGTGATACAAGATAGTAAAATCCTATTAAATGTGCAGTAAAAGGAAAAAAAGCAGGCGAGGAAAACCGCAAGGGGTAAAAGCAAAGATCAAAGGACGATGAGATATTGCAACAGCTTCATTCTACGACCTAGAGACGTCCCACTATGTGCGTGCAGGGTTGAGGGCCAGCTGAATGAGCAAACCAGAAGCTTGTCTTTCCTTGGTTTATCCTGTTGTTGGGATTGCATTAAGCAAGTGTCTGATGCCCACTAGAGTTGACTTCACAGTGCCAACATTCTTTTTGTGTGTGTGTACTAGGGCCTCTGCTGGCAGCACTTAGCTTTGCTCTGCATCAACACAGCAGATTCTTTCTAGAAGACTGCCCCACTGTAACCTCTGGGAAAGTTGGAGAAGTTCTGCCTTGGGAGAGTGAGATACAACCACAGCACTGAGATGGGTACTGCTGGAAGACTTGCCTTTGTACTTGCAAGACGTCCTGAGTATTTATCACCCCACTGCAGGGATGCAGCTGTGGGTACCATGTATCTATACTCCTGGAACTTCAGATAAGTGGCTGCAGGGGCTGTGTAAGGCCAAACTATATCTCCTTGATTTGTGGATATTCCAAGATCTCATTTCCCTAGGGTAGCTCAGTTTTAGCCAGGAGATTCTCTCTCAAGATGGTACCTGGCTACCGCTCTCTAAGTAATAGAGTGAGAAAATGGGATTTCTCTCCTCTGCTGACTCACTTTCTCACCAAAACCTATAAATAGATTTGAGACTTGTGAGGACCGTGGCTTGTCCTGAAGGCAGGACTGCTTGACTTTCACCTGGTTTACCTTGTGGAAGCTGCCTCTGTTTCCCCTTTCCCCAATAGGGAGCTGTGTGGTTGAGACTGGGCCCAGGTTATTTCTTGGCATTCTTTTTGTTTCTGCCCTTCTGCCATTCTCTACTTCACGGATTTCTGAAACTATTTTTCTCTTTGGGATAAACTCTATTATTTCTTATTCTGACTCCTTTACTAGCTTACACAGAGGCAAACTCTAGTCTATCAAAACCTCTAGTCTTACCAAAAAGATCAACAGAATTCATTATTTTCAGACATCATCTTACTCTCCTCTAGTTTTCATTACTGTCAATTTTCCTTTCCTTGAAGAAAATGTGTTGGGAGATGACCATTCAGGGTTGCCAGGTACAGACAGCTCTTCCCCTGGGGAACAGCCAACAGGAGATGGCAAGGTCTATTCTTGGCTGGCCTGAGGTTAAACTGGCACAGGACAGCTCCTGGTACTCAGTCTTTAGGTACATGTTTTTTCTCTTACTAGCTCTGCTTGGGTGCTGCTGATATAAATACGAATGATTAATGAGACTGCAAATATAATAGATTAACGAAACTGCATGGTTCATGAGAACTTGTGATTGTGCATAAAAATCCTATAAAAAGACTTCCTGCTTTGAGATAAGGTATAAAAAGCATTGTAGTTCCACAGGAAATCAGCCTACATATCCTCCTGATCCCAGCTCTGTCTGTGTCTCTTTTCCCCTCACCCCCTACCTTCCCACTCAGGTTTAGGATTTCAAGCAGAGGACTGCGACCAAAATGCATTTTTGCTATTTGTTAGTTTTACTGTTTGATTTTTGTCTTGAATTCTATGACATTTCATCCTGATGAGTTTATAAGTGCATTTCTTTTATTTAATCCAAACTCATTCCATCAAAGCTAAGAGAAAGTGTCTCTGGAGAAGGGAAGGGACATTTGAATAAACCGAATGAAAGCCACAGTAGTTGAAGATTACCAAGCATACACATTAACAAGATCACAAAATGAGAGAGAGAAACACAGAGAGAGACAGAGAGACGGAGGAAGAACGTACTCAGAGACTTTTGTGATTATTGTGTGCCAACTGAAAGCCACCATCCTAACTTGAGATATATTGTGTTTCTTGCCTTCTTGGTTGTGAGCCCGAGTCTTTAATGGCCGTATTGTATTCCTTTTACATGTAGATGGGTGCCCCATGGGTTTGAGGATGTTCTCTTATTCTCTCATCAAGTAATGACTGTCCCCCTTTGCCTTCCCCCTGTGACCCTGCCACTGTCCTCCATGCAGTCTTCCTTTCCTCTGTTTATACTGAAGTACAAATTCATCTCCTAATTCACAACTTCTTTGTTCTGATGTGTGCTGCTAAATACACTGACTGGATTATTTTATTTTATTTTTTGTGCTGTATTTATACATGGGATGTTTGACTCCTTCAGTCTTTCACTTTCTATAGCTTTCTATTCTAGAAAAGTATTTTTCATGTTAGTCATTTGTTTATAAATCACGTTTAGGGCTGTAGTTTTAAGCCGTGTGTTCAGTAATTACATAAATCTGAAGTCTGTGAAAATGCTTCCCTCCCTTTCCTTCCTGATTTTGTGACCTTATTTTCTTGTATCCTACGTAGTTTTCAACTACTTGTGACTTGGGTCTCTGAAAATTTATTTGAATGTCTCTTTTGTCCTCTAGAGATGCTTTTTCTTGGCTTTGACAGAATGAGTTTGGATTCTATTAAAAACAAATACAGCTTGAGAGTTCACAGCTTAATGAGTGCTCCGGGTGAAGACCCTGGTGAGGCACTGTCTCTGCCTCACTTCTCCAGAAATAGCTTCTTTTCCTCTTTCTCCCTCCCTCTGTTTGGTGCCGACATAGTCCTTTAGAAAAAAATGGCTTTGCAAACGTTCCTTCCCAGTTCCAGGCACACCCAGAGCCCTGGCCTCTTTATTTATGTGTTGGTGTGATTACATTACTGAGCATGGATGTGTGCTATAAACATAGAGGGTATAGTAATTTTAATGCCCTTTTCTTTCAGACCTTGATTCTGTATGTTTGGGGTAGGGCTCAAGTTTCTGCGTTTTTGACAAGATGCCAGATAATGCCAATGTGTCACCCAAAGTCCACACTTTCAGTATGGAGTATGTGCATAATTATGAATGTTGAAAAGCTCGTTTCGAATAGACATCATTTGACTACAAACCTCTTCCTTTTGAACACTGCGTTACTCTCTTAATTAGGATTGTCCCCACAGCAGGAATTCATTTAGGAGATGACTCCAGGAAATTCAGTAAAGGAGATAGTAATCATTATTACAGTTAACTGGGACTAGGCGCTACTAGGGACCCTCTCAGAAGCCCGAGCATTGTTTCCCCAGGGGGGAGGGAGGCTGGGATCTTGTCCACTTGTCCCTTCACTCATTGGTAGTAGTTGTTCCTGAGATGAAAACTAGTATGTTATGAAACTGACCGGCTCTGGAATTGGCCACAGGCAGGTGGTGTGAGCTCACATGGTTTGAAGGTATGGATAACAGCATCAAAAACATGACTTCAGTTTCTTTTTTGGAAGATCTAATGACAAACACTGTCATCTCAGACCATCTGGCAACCAGCCTCCTTTATCCTATAATAAGATAATGACTTAAGATAATGACTGAGGTGGGGCTTGTGTCCAAGAGTTGGCTTTGCTTTGGGTAAGGCAGCTCTGGTGGAGAAGCAGCGAGTGTGTTGATTGGGAGAAGGTGGCACATCTACTAGAGTCAGCCCTTTTCTGGTCTGAGCTTGACAAAGAACATGGTGACTGTGGATCAGGAGTGATTAAAAGCTACATAGAACTTAGGGCATGGTTGTCTCCTCATTGAACCTTGCACTTGCTAGAGGCTCCTACTCTTAGGACAATACTCCAGCCCATCATTTTATATCACCACAGACTAGTCATCCACCCTGGGGAAATCCCATACTGTCGCTTTCCTCAGTCAGTATCTGTAACTCTACTTCCTGTTTGTTTCTCTTAAAGTCTTAGCATGCCCTCCCTGTTCAAGGCGCTCTGATAAGTCACAACTGTGCTGCAATGGACATTTATTCGTATACTCAACAAGTCCTCTAGCACAAGGAACTAGCAATTATCTAGGGTGCCAGTGAGTCCCAGAGCCAGTGAGGCAGAACCTCCTTCCTTAATGTTGTGGATAAAAGCAGGGGCCCTGGTAGAGCCTGTCAGAGAAGCTGAGTGCAGTAGCAGCTGTAGTTCTGGGGTGGCAGACACAGTTCCTCTGTAAGCAGGCTGTAAATGTAGCCTGTGGCTTGCAGTCACTGACTTCTGATTTTCTCTTGATTCTGGGCTCTGGCCACAGTGCTCTCTGTCCTCTCATTCTAGGTCTGCACAGGAGTCACAGTGTAGCTGCTTCTCCTGGGCAACAGGCTGTGTCCAAGAAGGTAAGGGAGCCTTGTGGGACCTGGAGTGCAGAATCAGATTGGGGTCAATGTTGGGCTGATCTCCAGAATTTGACCCAGTGTCAAACTGTGTCTTGGGACCGACTGTGTACCTCTCCTAGCATCAGTCTGCACACAAACAACAGAGCTCGACAGGTCTAAAACAGCACCATAATGGACAAGGATAAAGGTAATAAAGGTAAAGATCTTCATGGAGGGGCCAAGATTAGAAAGGGGGAATGTTCGGTGCCTTTGTCCTTAAATATTTGCATTTTTAAATTTTCTGTGCAGAACTAGTCAGGAACATACCTTGGTTCAGACAAATTCAGGATCTTGATGGTCGTGTGTGGGTGTTTCAGAATGAGAGCCTCACAGCTGTTCAGAGGAAGGCACACACAGTTCCAGGTGAGTGGCCTGGGCCCATTGCAGGCAGCCCTTTGGCCAATGTTGTGGGCCTGTCCTTCATCCTTTCATCTTAACTCAGATGTGTTAGCTGGCATTAACTGGAGAGAAGAACATCAATAGAGAGAGGGTGGTCATGGAGTTGCACAGCTCTGGGATGAGTCAAGGAAAAGAGGTGATTCCAGGAGGACTGGAGGATCAGCTTGAGGAAATGGTGGAAGACTTTCTCTGAAGCTTCAAAGGGTCAAATAAAAGAGAGAAATCTATGGAAGGTTAAAAGTTGAAACTACAAGAGGCTGATCTGCCAAACAGAAAGAGTTCCTCAAGGATGGGATGCATGTTTGACCCAGGTTGTGAGTGGTGGGGTGGCCACTCCATTAAGGCCTCTAATTCCTTGAGTCTCTAGTGCAGAGATGTTCTTTAGAAATGTGAACTGAATTCCACTTTCTGTCATGTGTTTCTAGTCACCATTGCCTTAATCTCATGCCGATATCCAGAGAAGCTTGAGGAGGGTAAGGGGGACCCCATGTACCTGGGCCTGAAGGAGCCAGAACGCTGCCTTTTCTGCATAAAGGATGGTGAGAAGCCCATGCTGCAGCTTAAGGTGAGTGTAAAAAACAAGGGTTTGCTATCTCTTGGCCAGGGAAGCTCATCTAGTCCAAAAATTGTTCATTTGATGGAAACTCTAATTTTTAAAAGGCAATTTATGGATTATCCTTATGCCTATTTATTACTCTCTTAGGGTTGCAAACACCATCAAAGAGTAAGAAAACACTGTAGGGCTGTTTTTCAGGTAGCCAATCAAAATTGTTTTTTGCTTAATTTTACAAAATAAATTGTAACAAGGAGGAAGTCTTGTACAGCGACTTGTGTGTATGTTCACGTGTGTGTGCTCAGATGCATGTGTACTTGTGTAAACACTGCTGTGGCGGCCAGAGGTTGACACTGGGCATCTTCCTTGATCTCTCTCCACCTGATTTTTTGAGATAGGCTCTTTCACTAAACCTGGAGCTTGCCAACTAAACCAGGTTGGCTAGGCAGTATGAACCAGCAAGGACATTTATAGCATTTAAAGTGTCACAAAGTGGATGAGTTTATGACACTATCTTCTAGACAAAAATTAGTTTGCAATTTTAGGTGGTAAAAAGACAAATCTTTGCCACAAACATTTTAATTATGAACTTTCCGTTATAAAAATTATATACTATAATAAGGTAGTGAAACTAGACCTCTCGGTATCATAAGAATTGTTAACTCTTTTCAAGAACAAGCACAAGCAGACACTCTGAATAAACAATGAATTTCAACCAGGAATTATTTTGATTCTTGAACAGTGGTCAATGTCAGTATACTTTGGGTGGTCACAACTGGAGGCAAGAGCCATTTTTCTGGTGGGTAGAGAGCAGGGATGATGCTAGGCATCCTACAACACACAACAGTATAACTTCTGACATCTGCCCAAAATACCTGTAGTGCTGAGGTTGGAGAAATTGCACATAAAATGATTATCTTTTCATTCAAAAATCCTATTAGCTATTACGTAAATATTCTTTGGACAGCCTTATTTGTAGGAAACAGGTAATAAGTCTCTAGATCAGGACTCTATAGCCTCAAAAAACTTCCGTGTCAAATTGTTCTTTCAAAGCTTTATATTAAGAACTACTGAAAAAGTCTGACATGGTAATGTGTGTCTGTCATCTCAGCATTAGTGAACTTGAGGAAGGAAGATCATGAGTTTGAACTAACCCGGGATACAAAGAGAGGCTTGTGTCAAAAAAAATTTAAAAAAAATCCAAACTGCAAGTGAACAAACAGCATTGAAATTTGTGACCTAATGCTTCTAATATACTCTTGACACACAGATGACTTGGGTGGGGGAACATATGAGTCTTAATATTCTAGTATGAAACAGGAGTTTCCAGATCTGCTTTATCAATGGGGGGCGGTGGTGTTAGACATGATACGTGAATATCAGTGTGTAAAGAATGTAAAACAGTTCCAGTGGTAATGTTTCTTTCTGGGGTCTCCTTACCCACCAGACAGGGAGTGTAATGAAGCTGCACGACCAAGAGGATGTTGTAAAACCCTTTGTCTTTTATCATAACAAGAGTGGGACCACCTCTTCCTTTGAGTCCGCTGCCTTCCCTGGCTGGTTCATCGCTATCTACGCCAATGGAGCCTCTCCAGTCTTTCTAAGCCAAGAACTAGGGAAAACCCACATCACTGACTTTTGGATGACTATGGTTTAAGGTCAGTCTGGTGTTGGGTATTGCTTTCCATGCAGAAAATCTTGCCTTTCCCTTCTACCGTGCTAGCTCTCAAAGGCCTTCTTACAAGAACATTGTCATCCTGTCCAACAAACAAGGGGAGGCAGATTTACCACAGTCATGCCTAATTTTCAGAAGTAGTAACCAGGTTAAAGAGTAATGTATAGTGACGGGCGTGGTGGCGCTCACCTTTAATCCCAGCACTTGGGAGGCAGAGGCAGGCGGATCTCTGTGAGTTCAAGGCCAGCCTGGTCTACATACTGAGTTCCAGGACAGCTGGGGCTACAGGGAGACCCTGACTCAAAAAAAAAAAAAAAAAAAAAAAAGAGTAGTGTATAGTAAAGTCTTAGCCTAGAATATGAAGGGAGAATCTGCTGTTGGGCTTTTCACCCTAAGCTGAATTGCTGCCCTCCAATATATCCACCCAATGAGCAATGCTGGGCGAGGCTATGGGGAAAATGAAATCAGTCATGAGATAGTGAATATTTTTGCCATGGTCATGTAAAGTGTGACACCATTGCAAAACTAATAAAGTACTAGTTACTACATGATTAATATATCATCTAAACAATGAGGGGTGGCGATGACTCACTTGTGTTCACATTTCTGGGTTTTCAGATACGTTTCTCAGTGATGCTCTCTCAAGACTTTGTGGATTCTGACAAGAAGCAGCAAACACAAAAGTTACCACAAAAAGGATGAATGAAAAGAGAGCTGAGCTTCTCCGACTTCCATCTCAGTGACATCTGGTTTGGGTGAAGAATTGCTGATGTTTGTCATGTTTTCGTCCAAAGTGTTATCACTGGATTTCATAAGAATTTAACCTTGCAGAATAAAATGATTTTATCTAACTTGATCTACTGAATGGAATGATTTTAGTGGCATGTCATAGTCATGGTATTGATTTTTTGCTATAGTTTGTAAAGCAGGTTCATATCAAGTTGTGTGTGGAGACATGCTTGCATATATGTACATGTGCATGTGGATGAAGGCCAGAGCTTGACATCAGGTATCTTCCTTAATCACTCTCTACCTTGTAGTGTGAAGCAGGGTCTTTTATTTGGACCTAAAGCTTGCCAATTCTACTAGTGTAGCTGGTCAGCTTGCCCTGGGGATCCCCTGAGTCCACATCCAGAGGACTAGGATTACAAATGGGCAACTATGCCTGACCAGCATTTGTGTAGGTTCTGGCCATTTGAACTCTAGTCATCAAGCTTTCATAACAAGTGCTTTCCTGCTGAGTCATCTCCTCAGCCCCTAGTCTTTAACTCTTAAGAACCAGCAATATTGCTGAGGAGGGTGGCATCTTCCAAAACCAGGTTCTTCCAGGCCCAAATAGAGGGATGGCTGGGACAAATCAGGCTCCATTAATAAAAATTGTATCCTACATTTCATTCCATGATGCAGATGCATAGTTGACTGAAAATCTTCCCTTGCCTCACCCTGGCACATGTTTCTATGAGCTTCCTGTGAGCTTTTCCTCTGAACTCATGGACCATAAATTCACATGACTCTTAGTCATGGAGAGCATATTTATTTTTGAAGGCTTATATATGTATGCATTATTTACATATATATGAAACTGTTCTTTGCAATGTGATGATTCCTAAAATAATCTGTGCAGTCATGTTGCATTTTCTTTTTTCTTATATCTTTACTTGTCCTTAGCTTTGAAGAAAGATTTGGGGATATTGTTTTCCAAATCACATGGATGATTTCCAGGACCCTATAGACACTGCCTCAAACTCCTCATCCCATCCTTTCACCTTCCTCTTTTTGGCTTTTGTGTGACTTTGTTACCACGGGAGATTACGTTTTTCTAGGTCGACAACATAGTACCCCCTTTGTTTACATTCCTGTGATTCCTAAAGACAGCAGGACTGTGTCTCTTCTGCCCTTCTTCAGTTAGTCTAGAGATGTGGGGTGATCAGGACATCTAGAGAAGTGAAAGGGCTCTATTAATTATTGCACTGGGGTGGCAGGCATAAACTGGGAAATCAGCTGAGGTAGAAGGCCTTCTGGATACACAGCTGTGAAGGCACCTACCCATTTTAACATTGCCTTGACTTTTTCTAGAAGAAAGCACTCGGCACTTTAGAGATTTATGTTATTTTCCTTTCCTAGTTTTCTGAAAAATGTTTCCAATTTATAACATTTTCTATTAATACCTTTTAGTATACAAGCTACAATTTATTTAGTGTGGTAAAACATTTAACATGAGATCTATCTGCTTAACAAATATTGTCAGCTATGAGCACATGGTGATATAGCAGATCTCCAGCATTTACTTATATTGATTGCCTCATTAAGATATGCTCAAAACTCACGAATAACTTGGGAAATTCAAATCAAAGTTGTGATGAGGTATCACCTGACACTGCTTAGAATGGCTGTTATATAAGACAGATAATGAGTGTTGTTGAGGATGCAGAGAAACTGGAACCACAGCACACTTTTCCAAGGATTTAAAAGGTGTAGAACTATACTTTTTGAATATTGTTTACTGATAAAACTGTACTACCAAGCTTGAACAATGCTGTGAAATTCGTCACTGTTCCTATAATTTAATTTGTCACTCATTCCCTTTCCAAATTCTCCAACAAAGTCTTTCAAAGTAATCATGTTACTTCTTAAAGAAAACACCACTAAATAAAGTATTTTAAATTTAAAAAGGTATAGAATACTCTGGAAAACAGAAGTTCCTTTAAAAGTTAGAAGTAGGACATGATATAACCCAGAATTCCATTCTGTATACACAAAGGAACTAAAATCAGAATATTGATGGGGTATCAGCATGTATCCTATAATTTTGTTAAATAGTGTTTTTACTGTGATTTATTTATACTTTAATATACTTTCAGCAATTTGCTTCTAAACATGTAGATTACACATGTAGTTTCTACATTTCCAAGAGGTTAAATTATCTGAGCGTTATTTTTAGATAGTCTGTGTCGATTATTGCCCACGATTGGACAAAATGGCCTAGATTTATCAATTTTGGGCAATGTATTCATATCCCTTTGTAATTTTGTGTAGTATAAATTTATAAATGTTCTATGAAAACCTGACAAAACAGTATTATGCCTTTTTTAACATTCTTTTTTATATTTTTAGAAGAAGCATATCATTACAGCTTTAAAATATTCAATAATAGTTTCCAGAGCAA